CGCTGGACCCGCAGGGGCTGCCAGGGCCGCGGGCAGCGCGCAGGGCCGGGGCGCCCAGGCCTGTCCTGTGCCAGGCCAGGAGCAGAGACGGGGATCCGCCCGAGCCGGACAAGCTGGCTGAGGCAGCTGCCCATGAGGCGCGTCCACAGAAACCGGGCTCAGCCCGCGGACTCTGGGGCTCTAGGTTGCCGTTGACCAGGCCCACTGGGCTGGAGGCCACGTCACAATGTCTGTGGCGCGCTGCTGCCTTCTGAGGAAACAAGGCCCGCGCGCGTGGCCCTGGGCGCTTGGGCCTCCGCCAGGCAGCGGGGACCCCCCCAGGCTGCGCACCCAGAGGCCCCCAGTGCGTCCCATCTCCCTCACACTGGACCCGAGCGGACATAGCGCCGCACACAGCGCTCCACTGGAGTTCTCAACTTTATGGTTTTGTGTTCACTGTGCTTGGTGAAAACCACGTGCAATAAACTTGGAATGTTTATTCAGAGAGAATAAGTTTATTCGGGGGGGGGAGGGAGAGTAAAAGAGGGTAGAGAGAAAGAGAGAAAGAGAGAGGGAGAGAGAAGGAGAGAGAGGGAGAGAGAGAGAGAGAGAGAGAGAGAGCGCATGCGCAAATGCTAGGGTCTTATTGAGACTACTGGCTTCACAAGAACACAAGTTTCCACATTTTAGGTAACCTGGCAGCTTTTAGTTGGCTTTTCAGAAAGTTCACAATCATAATGATTCCTTCCCAAGAGGAAAGAAGAGGTGTGAGGTGGAATATCCAGAAGTTTCAGAATCCCCATGTAGGCATGTGGAGAAGATGCCCATCTCCCAAAGTCAGTGCAGACTGGAGGAGGTGACTGCTTCCTACAATGTGAAACAGCAACAGAAGCCTTCAAGTCACATGGAAAACATCTAGGAAATGTGAACTGCCCCAAGAACACAATTCCAGGATCAACCCCTAAGAAACGAAGAAATACCAATTCCAAGGAAAAACCATACAAAATTTTATGCTATGCTCTCTTGCCACTGTAATTGGGATGAAAAGTAATCCATGTATGAAATAATAGGTTTTTTTCTTTTTTGTGTTAGTATGGTACTGAATTCAGAACCTGGGAACTCTCCCTTAGCTTCTTTGCTCAGGGCTGGTACACTACCACTTGAGACACAGTTCCACTTCTAGCTTTTTGCTGGTTAATTGGAGATTAGAGTTTCATGAATTTTTTTTTGCCCAAGCTGGTGACAAATCATGATCCTCAGATCTATCTCCTGAGTAACTAGGATGGCAGGCATGAGCCACCAGTGCTCAGCCATCCCAAAACTACTTCTATTCAAATGGATTTTCTCAAAAAATGGCATGATTGCATATGTACATCCCTAGAATTAAAATTTTATCAAGTTTGTGTTATTTTTTGAATCATTTGTCTTTTGCTTGTTTTATTTGTGAAGATTCTATGATAGTTACTTATCCTATAGCTGCTAGAGTTTTCTGATTTGTTATTTGCTAACCTTTCTCACATTAAAAAAAAAATGCTACTTAAATAGTATTTTTCAAGGCCGGTTCCTCTACCCAGAGGTCAATAAATATTTACCACTCCTCCTTTTCCCCTTTCTAGCCTTTTCATTTTCATTCCTGTTCTTAAAGCTTCAGGGTCCTTATTATTCCATCCCATAACTTATCTGACAAGATTACTACACTATTAACATCAAGGCTTTTCCATTAAATACATGGATCCTTCTTGATAATGCTTATGATTTGGAATCCTCAGCCATCTGTTTGCTTCTTGCTAAGCTATACATTTATATGTCTTTCTCATTCAGCCTCCTAACAGCTGTTACTGATGTTTAGGTGACCTAGAACACTGCTGGCAAACATTAAGGGCCACGCTCTCCCCGGGAGTTTCTTCTTGATCATTGGAGTGTGGTGGTCAATGAAGTTCCCACTGAAGCACTTTCACCAAAAGGGCAAGAACAGGCTGAGCCAGCAGCCACAGCGGGTTGCAATCATTGAAGCTGCAGTCAGGATTTTCTGTTGTGTCACTGGTAAGAGCAGAACTTTTTTTTTTTTTTTTGGTCGGTCATGGGGCTTGAACTCTGGGCCTGGGGGCTGTCCCTCAGCTCTTTAGCTCAAGGCAAGCACTCTACCACTTGAGCCACAGCACCACTACTGGTTTTTCAGTGGTTAATTGGAGATAAGAGTCTCACAGGGATTTTCCTGCCCAGGCTGGCTTTGAACCATGATCCTCAGATCTCAGCCTATTGAGTAGCTAGGATTACAGGTGTGAGCAAACAGCACCCAGCTGAGCAGAACTCATTTGGTCCGTGGACTTTCCCCATCACATCCAGATCTTTTAGTCCATTTCCTAGACTCTGTGAAATGGCTGTTTCACTGCAGACACAGAGGACAAGGACTTTCAGGAGGCTACTGTTTATCCTAACATTCCATTGTGTAGAGAGCTTTATGTTAGGAGTTGATTTAAAAAAAAAAAAAAAGAACAGCATCAGTGGCTTATATCTATAATCCTAGCTACTCAGAAGGCTGAGATCTGAGTTCAAAGCCAGACCAGGCAGGAAAGGCTGTGAGACTCTTATCTCAAATTAACCACAAAACTGAAAGTGCTAGAGCACTACACTTGCATAGAAAAAGCTCAGGGACAGTGCCTAAGCCCTGAGTTCAAGCCCTACAACAACAACAACAAAAAAGTTAATAAAGCCTTATACTATATGTAACATGAGAAACTACCAAATAAACTATATTATTTACCTTAGAAGGAGAAAGGTATAGAGATATAGGAAGAAAACACATACTATATGAAAAGATAAAAATAGAAAAGAAACAAGAGCGAATAGGGTCATAGTCATGATTTGAGAAAGAACTAAAATGGTTTTTCTTTTTTAATTGTTTTATAAAGGTGATGTATAGTAGGGTTACAGTTACAAGTCCGGTAGAGTATATTTCTTTTGGACAATATCACCCCTTCCCTTGCTCTCTCCCAGGTTTTCCCTCCCATCCCCAACCACAAGTTGTATAGTTTATTTTCAACATCGTGTCTAGTGAGTACCACTGCTGCATTTGTTTACCCTTTGTCCCTCCATTTCTGTGCCTCCCCTAGCACTACCAAAACATACATGAATAAACAAGACTAAAAGAAAATGAGGGCTGGGGAGGTGGCTCAGTGGTAGAGCGCTTGCCTTGCATGCCTGAGGCCCTGGGTTCGATTCCTCAGCACCACATAAGCAAAAAAGAAAAAAAGCCAGAAATGGCGCTGTGGCTCAAGTGGTAGAGCGCTAGCCTTGAGCTGAAGAGCTGAGGAATAGCACCCAGGCCCAGAGTTCAGGCACCACGACCGGACCCCCCCCCAAAAAAAGAAAACAACAAAGAAAAAAACCTAATTTCCATTTCCTGGAGTTCAATAAATCTTATTTTGTATGATCAGCTGCTCATAGACATTGTGCCTTTGTGGAACTAATTTTAATAAAACGTAAACCCTACCTTGAATACCACGTATTGTATCTCCTTCTAGCATCCCAGAGTACTTAATATCCAATACACTGGTCTAACCTCCATCCTCTAGTCTCAAGAAACTCTTCACAGGGAACATTTGTACAAGGGGACCAGTGAGATGGGCAGTACAAGAGATGAAAAACTATTCCTTGTCTTCTGGCCCTTCCTCATGTCCATTGCTCCTTGTCATCTTCTCTATCTGCTGGTGGCCCCAGAAGAGTCAGTAGTGGTAAGAGTAACAATTATTCCTAAAAACAATAAAAGCCATTTATGACAGACCAATAGCCAATATTATACTTAATGGGGAAAAGCTACAACCAATTCTCCTAAAATCAGGAACAAGGCAAGGATGCCCACTGTCTCCACTCCTCTTCAACATAGTCCTAGAACCCTTAGCCAGGGCAATAAGG